TCATCTAAAAGCAATTTTATTGTTTCCAATTTATGTATATAAATAATGAATGTATCCTTTAAGTAAAGAATCATAATTTTTGACTGTGAAACAATTATATTGCATACATTTGCACCCAATTATTAAAGCAATAAATAAAAATATTCATTTTATTTTTAGTTTATTTATTATGGCGTATTATACAATATATTATTTAAATTATGAAATTTCTACATAATTTACAACTATAATGCCCATTTCTACCAACGTAGATTAACTTTAATTTCTAATCTTTAGAATTAGAAAAAGATGAAGAGTAAGTCGAATCGAGACTAAAATTAATTTATGTTGGTAGAAATGGGCATATATGACTACGTTTATACGGCTTGATTATAAAATTACTCAATCACATTCATTCTATTCTTCAGAGGAATAGCTATGATTGGCCAGTTTTATAACACCAATATATGATATAACTTCGACGTAAACTGAGTATAAATATAATAAATGGTACGGTTTTTTTCTTAATTATTTTCGAAGATAATCTTAATAAACATTTATAAGAGAATTAAAAGGATATTTTCAATTAAATTTTTTCTCTTAAAAATCAAGATAGTATCTTAATTTAAAAAAAATTAAATGTAAATATATTGTAATATAAAAAATTTGCAATGACTCTTATAATTAACATTTTAAAATAGTGGTAGGAAGAATTTTTCAAATATGGCTTATTCTTATTTTAACTTGATATAATTGGTCAATTCTTCTTTCTTTGTGCGATTACTTAAATCTGTTTGGATAGATCTTCATTGCTATCTCGTATTCCTCTTACCAGTCATCAGTCTCACTTCATGCTCTCATAGAAGACTGTATCTCATGATTGGTCGATAACCAATACACTTTAAAAAAAGAGCAATTTTATTATATTTGTATCAATAATATATTTAATGTTGAATGCGTTGAAAAGGTAGGCATTATATAAAAATATGTCTTAATAACAATGTGATAATTATTTATTTATCGTGTGACGTATAATTAGACGACAGCGTATTATGTGCCAACTTCTAACCTAAAAGAGTATATTCCAAACAAGTAATTTAAACATAAGATTAGAATATAATAAAATTACATTTTTATTTAATGTAGTGATTAATGTGCAATATGATTATGTTACGTCAGTTATTTAATTTAATTTATGTGTTAAAATAATTTGTGTGTTAAGTTATATGTAATAAAATTTGAACATTGCAATGTGTAATTTACATCATAAATATGTGCATAATGAATATATTTTAATCTTTAATTTTATAAATTATTCGAATTATTTGTATTTTATACTAACTTGTATAATGTTTAAATTATTAAACATTATATTTCATATAAATAATATGGTTTCTGCATAATATCTATATTAGAGGAGTGTTTTGTAAAACTTTTTATATTCTGATTTTTAAGTGATAAAATATAAAAATATTATTTTAGTTAATAAAAAATTATTTTGTTCTGAGGATTTATGTATTTATTATACACACACACACACACACACACACACATACACACACACACACATACATACACACACACACACACACACACACACACATATATAATGTATAAATATATATCTATAAAAATTAATGCATCAGTAATTTAACAAATTTTAGGAGTCTTTATGTAAAATATATTGTACTTTATATAATGGATGTGTTAGAACCAGAATTAATTTGGGTTAATGGACGCTGCTATAGATTTTACGAAAATACTGCTTGGAAAAACATGCATACATCAACTCCATATATGGAGGACAAAGAAACAATTTGTTCAAATGAGGAATCTGAAACTGATATAGAAATAATTCCTCATGATACATTGTTTAAACATACTTTTTATGTACCCAAGTGAGAATCATTTTAAATATTTTATCACAATTATAATATTAGTCAAAATTTAATAATATATAAGGAATTGTTTAACATGGTAATATTTTATATTTTATCATTTTATTATGTTTTAGAATTTTTTACTCACACATAATTGGTACAAAAGGTTTAACACGCAAGAAATTAGAACACGACACAAGAACAACTATTGATATACCAAAAAAAGGAAAAGATGGAAACATTGGTAAAAATTATTTGATATTTCTTTAATTCTGTAAAGCGTATAATGTGCTTGAAGTATAATTTTATTCTTGTTTATTCAATAAATAACAAGAATAAAATGATTATGTATATTATATACTTTACAAAATGCAATCGTTAATATAAGAAAAATATGAATTTAGTTAATTTTTAAATATTATATATTTATTTGTAGTTATTACTGCACGGGAACGTAAAGCTATAATATCTGCAAGACATAGAATTGATTTACTAATAGAAGCCTCAAAGAAAAAGATACATTATACACACTTTTTGTCAATCCCATTAAATAAAAAAGAAATAATTGATAAATATATTTCTTTTAAGAATGATATATTGGAGAAGTATAACAAAACTACACACAATATTGATGAATCACTTTTTCAAAATCCATTTAAGTTACACCTTACCATTGGTATGCTTAAATTATTTGATGATAATGAGAAAAAGCATGCTATCGATGCTCTCACAAATTGTAAAGAAAATATTATAGAGTAAGATATCTGACTTTATATAATAATATGTATAATTATGCATATTATGTATAATTAATCTTGCAAAATTAAATTATATGATATTAATTGAATTAATATTATATAATCTAGTTTTGTAATTACATAATGTATTACAGTATCATAAATATGATAGATTATAATTATTTCAAAAGCTGTTTAAATAATTATATATTCTACTCTACAGTCCTATTCTTGAAGAAACGGCATCAATAAATATACAGTTACAAGGAGTTGCATGTATGAATGATGATCCTACTAATGTTAAAGTTTTATTTGCACAAATTGCACCCAACGAAAAATTGCAAGAACTAGTTGATAAAATTGCTGAATATTTTATTGACATAGGTAAATAATATATTGTGTATCTTATATAGAATTGAATATATTTGAGATATATTTTATGCAATTTTAATCAAAACAGTAATTATATTAATTTCTTTGATTATATAATTTTCTAAAATATATATTTTTATTAATATTAGCTGTAACATCTCATTTATTTCATTGTATAATTTTTAATTTTAGGTTTAATGGAGAAAGAATACGAAAAAATAAAATTGCATGCCACTCTAATGAATACAGCATTCAAAGATGATTACTCAGCAAGGTTTAAGGAAAGATATGATGCAAATGAAATATTAAAAGTAATAAGATTTATAAATGGGATTTATTTATAATTCGTTATAAAATTGGTAATAAGAAAAATAATGACTTATTTCATATTTTAGGTATATAAGGATATACTGTTTGGAAAAATAATATTAAATCAGATTGATATATCTGAACTTCACACTGCTACTAAAGACAATTATTATAAATCAATAGGTAGCATTACTTTTTAAGTACAGGAATATGTGCTATATAATTGTAGCAATGATCTCTTTTTATTTAAAAAAAAAGTAAGTTAGAAAAATCTATTATGTACGCGTACGCACGCGCTCACACACACACGCGCGCGCGCGCACACACACACACACACACACACAGAGAGAGAGAGAGAGAGAGAGAGAGAGAGAGAGAGAGAGAGAGAGAAGTATAGGTACATATAAATATAATAGTATTTTCAATAATCTCTTTATTTTGTTTTTGTTTTGTTTAATATTTTATTTATTATAATGTATATCTATATTAATATTTTTTTAAAAATATAATTTAAATAGATTCAAAAAATTAGAGAATATATTAATCTCTATTTTATGTAATTTTATTTTACATTAATGAACATTTTATCATTTAATGATTTGAATGTTCATAAATACCTGTCCATGTATAAGAATATTTTACAAGTTCAGATTGAGATTTAAAATTATTACAAATCTTCTACCGTCCGATGGTTGAATTTCGGAAATTTAATCATTAGTAATAGAAACACTATTGGTTTAAACACTGATTCTTTTAAGAAATTTCAATGTAAACTAGAAAATCCTCTTCTGACAAGGAGAAAGAAAAGAGGAGGTAGAAGGGATAAGGGCAAATATTTATAAAAGATAGAATCAGGAAATGCTAAGAAAATTTTCGAGAGAGAAGCTATGTGTTTATAAAACAGTTACGAAATATTATATAATTTCTTATATTAGAGGATAAGAAGTTATAGAGCTAAATCATTGTATTAACAAGTTCATGCATAAAAATTGAATTTGTAAAAAAAGATATTAAGGTTGATATAGCGTCTTCAATAATAAAATCTAGAAAAGAACGAAGAGTAGAAAAAGAGAGGTAAATTTTATTTTAATGAAATTTTAATTTACATAATTATAAAAAGAAATATTCAATCGGAATAATTATCTTTCCTCGATTCGTTTTTCATTGAAGGACATTGATTCTGAATTGGCTAGAAGAAATGTCCTATTAAAAGCATTGATTCGATATATTAGCTTCTACATGTATTGTAATTATCTATGGATTAAAAAAAAGTCATTCGTGTATCAGTATAACAGGCGAATCAGCTACGACATTAGTCGAATCCTAATCATGTATTTTCCTTATCAAACTGTCAATAGAATTCAGTTTCTATCTGCAGATTTCATTAACGCCTAACCTCTTTTGTTAAATAAATCTAATTAGTATTTGATTAAAAATAAATCAATCCCAGAATATCGAAATATTCTCTAAATAATGAAATGGTGGCTACGGATAATTATTTTTTCTGAAAAGAGGATCAGATATGATATAAAAAAGGCTTATACCATTTTTAACTTGTAATTGTAAGCACATTTATTGAATGATGTATATACTAAGATTATAAGTATTATAATTATAAGTATTATAATTATTGATGCTTATATGTGAACAAAGCTTATATTTTTTATTAAATAAATTAAAAAACATAACCTCTAAAACGAACAAGTGTTTTTATTTATAATCTTAATAATAATTTAGAGAGTATTGAAAGGTGATTTTTTTTTTAAATCATTTTATTTATTTTTATGCTGAGTATAATAATATGATAATAATTTTAATGCCACTCATAGAATTTATATATATATATATATTCTAAATTTATATAAAAATATGTATCAATATGCTTTCAAGTGTT